GGACCCCGGGCGCCCTTCTTAGAGGTTCCACCTCGGCCACGGGTGGCCTTGGATGTCCTTGGAGGGTGCGCAGGTGGTAGAACAGGCGCGGTGATTCGTGCCGACCTGCGGAGGGGTTCTGTTGCTAGGCCGTCGTGACCTTGCCCCTCTACCACTGCTGCTCCGACCTCCCTCTGGTGGGCATCGCTGGCRGCTAGGGTCCTTCGATCTGCCGTATTGGTCGAGTTTGCGGGTTGAACCATTTTCGCTTGCATGTTGGTTTAAAAGAATTGGGATGACTTAGATTGTCCTTCCCACAGACGGCGCCAAATGTTTATGCAAGGATATGCACAACAGTGTATTTCAGATTGCAGCTCGAACTCGGCCTCCGGACCGATCTGAATACTTGGGCGGACCTGCACAAAAAGGTGAGCACTCCGACGATCAAGTCAGTATAGGTCGGATTCCCAGTTTAGTTCGAGGTCAGAAATCATCGTACCTGATCGCGGAGTGAGGTCCTCTACTTATGGGTGGTAGTCCCGCTAATCTCGCGACGGTTACACCCGGTAATCTCGGGACCGTCGGTTACACCCGGTAATCTCGGGACCGACGGTTACACCCGATAATCACGCCACTCACAGTAGCTCACATCGGCCCCCACCGAGCTTCCCGGTAGGTCGGACCTCGGCCAGGTTCACCTCGGCCTTCATACTTAGCATCTGTCAACGCTAGTGGTGGTGATCTCGGCCGTCCGAGCTGGGCATGACTCATGAGTCATCTTGGAGCACCAATAGGGGTCCTCCATGTGTCCAGGGTATTCTCTTCCCCAAACACACTTCATAAGTACTATCTAGATATACATAAAACATATTCATACAAAAAATCACTAGCAGTACATATAACTATTAGTATTCAATTCTTTTGAATTATTAAAAAAAAACATAGCCACTTATGTTATTATGCCTTAGAAAAATATAATATAACACTGCATATAAATATAAAAAAATATGTCAAAGCAAACATAGCTCAACGGTAATTAATATATATCTCCAATCAAAAGGTAGTGAGTTCGATCCCCACCCCCACATGTTGGATTGCGCAGAGAAATATGTGTGATTGTAATTATTTTTCACATAATAAATTTTCCTTTGTGGAACTTGGTTTTTCTCCAGTTTGGAGTTTTCCACATAAAATTGTGTGTGTATTTTTTTTTTGTGCTTTCTTTTAATTTTTAATTTATTTTCGGTTTTTGCCTAGATTATAAATAGGGGGTTTTTTCCCATCATGATTACCTTTATATGGTTGAATACTAGGAGTACTAGACAGAGTAATATTCACTACTATACTCAAAGCCGAAACACTCCACAAGTTTTATGACCAACCAAACTTGAATGCTTCTTAGCAATGCATCCTAAGCTATGCACAAGGAATAAACCAGGGGTTTCGCACTAAAGCAAAGGGTTAAAGAGAAACTAAACTCTCAACTTTACTCTATTAATATTCATGAGGTTCCATCTCAAAACTAATTCGCAATGAGAGAAGTAATTCATGTCTATTACAACAGTATCCTGAGGAAGGAGTTTAGAGCCCTTATAGTAGCACATACTTGTTTTTCTTTCTAGGGTATGTTAAGGGGGCCAATCCAAGATCGTACTGTTACTCTACAAAGACGAAAGATCACTCCTAAATGCAACCTTTAAACCTTAACATGTCCCTTCAAGATCGTGGCTCTTTTGGCTCATTGATCTTGGTCAGATCCCATTTTTGGACCGGATGCTCGTTGGAATTTGTGGGCTCTGATACAATATTAATATTCATGGGGTTTCATCTCAAAACCATTTGACTATGAGAGGAGTAATCCATGTCTATTATAAACCTTTAACATACTCAATTCAATATCTCAAAAACTGTGTCTTCAAAAGAATATAAGTACATATTAATAAGCTAAGACCATCCACCGTTATAAGGAAAAATAAAGATAAAATAAAATCCTAAAACTAAAACAATTTAAACAAATGTTAAAACATTCTTTCCCAATTTCGTAAATACTCAGTGATAATTGACATATATCTCAAACCAAGAGGCTGTGAGTTCGATCCCCACCCCTACATGTTGTACTAAAAATATATATATATCAACCGTCTTCCAAACGGATAGGAATTAAGATTCCTTAAATAGAGATGGCGACTAGGTCACTTGGGCGACAAGCACAAGGGCGCGGGCAACAGACATGAGTATGGGTAGGCAGGCGGGTGTAGGTACCGTTGGCAAGCATAGGGGTGCACGTGGGCAAATGACATGAGCTTTGGGATTTATTGGCGTGCGCAACATGGGTGCAAGTGATGTAGGCAGGGGCATGGGTGTAGGCGCTGTAGGTAGGGGTGCTCGCAGGTAGGGTAGCAGGGCGCGGGTGGGCGTGGGATAGCAGGGGCGCGACAAGGGCTGGGTGGTAACACTAGCATGTTGGGGGCGTACGTCTACGATGTTGATGTGTAGGATGTGGGTGTGCTGGGCATACATTGTGCGTGCGATGGGTCTATCCTTGATGCATGGTCGTTTTCTTGGCCCCTTTCGAAACTCTCTTCCCCTATGAGCTCGTGATGACTTTTCTTGACCTTTAAAAATTGTCAAAATATGCTAATGGGTCCAATGAATCATCTTTGTTTGCGGGGTTTTCAAAACATGTTATGTTGTGTGGTTGAAGTTGTTGGCAATTATGATACTATATCAAATTGGATCTTCTACAAAACTCAGCTGGAATCATACACAAAATTTTAAAACTTAAAATAATGACCAAGTTAGAGAACTTACACCCAAGAGCAAAGTTTAAAATAAGGTAATTTTAATCAGCATGAGCCCTTATTATTGGCATTATTGCAGCCTAATATCTAACATTTTCCTCATAAATTGAACTGCAAAAGGATAAATTTAAAGTCACTTTATATATATATAAACTTGTGAATATGAATCCTTGGGTTGTTTTAAGAAAGCAGTAGTAGAGGAACATACTCTAGAAAGTATATGTACTTGACAATATGGGAAAGTTAAATAAATTAAACAAACAAACAATCACAAAAATAGTAACAAATTAATTCATAAATAATTGATTAAAAAATTGGCATATGTAAGACTCAACAAAACACAATTTTCTACCTAAAATGATCCCAACCCATGAAAAAGGATAAAAACACATTTGATTAATCCCTAAAACAATTCCGGAATTAGGGGTTAAACTTTAACACTTCTTCAACTCATTTAATTATTTGGTGAAGTTTCTTTCATGAAACTAATTAATTTGTTTACACCATTTTGCTGATGAATCTTCAACATATTTCAAACAATGTAAATCTTCAAAAAAGTCGAGCACCTCCCAATCTCAATTACTCAAAATTGAGTCAAAATTTCTTCCATATCTTTGATTATTAGTGAAAATGTAATGATTTTGTTGCATTTTTATTTCTAATCTTTTCCTTGTCGGGTAAGTCATGACTCTTTTAATTTGTTAGTCAAAATCATTTTAGAATCTTTCTATTTCTAGTAAATTTACCCGTCTTTTCATTACTTTAAACTGAAACAACAGTTTACAATAGAGCGACTCGAAATATCAAGCATGTGCGTATTCAGAGTTATGCGAACGCTAGAACCCAGATCAATATCATGACAACGTCATTCTGATGGTATATCAAGTTAAATTTGTTGGATTTCCAACTTTGGAAGGGTAAGGTAAGAATAATTAAAAATTTAAAAATTAGATTCAAATTATTTTGGCATATTTTCAAAAAAAAAAAGTTATTGCTATATTTTGTAATAAGACAAATATTTTAGCTACCGATTGCAAATTTCTAAAATAAGTGAGAGTTTTCACTACAAAAATTCTCAGATTTTCTTCTATTCTTCATTATTTTTTTTTCTTTACTTTTTACTTATTATTTTAATTTCTAACGAACATCTTAAATCGCCAGAGTTCTTCCCGGCCAGTTCTTAATTCTCATGGCGTTGGGTGCTTCGCTTGCTCGAGGTGCGTCTCTAAATAATTGACAAATAATTGTAATAATAATGAGGAAAGAACCCACGCGAATTTTAGGGCTTTCTATTAATGGAAAATCTGAAAGTTGTATGTCCTTGCTCTTAATCGCTTTTCTTTCTTCTAGCTCCCAATTAAGCATGTGAGGAACTCCTTAAATTCTTTCCACCATGTGGGTTCTTAATATTTTCCTTATATATTTGTTTCACGTTCAGGAAAATGTCAGCATTTTCTTGCCCAGGTCCTTGCTTCTTCAGGACGAGTACTGAATCTGGACGAAACCAGGACGTTTAAAAGGTATAACTTATAAGGATCTTTCAAATGCATTTGAGACTTCGAAATTACCTTCTTGGTATACAAGTTTACCTCTGCATGAACCCAAGTCTTTTATTTTACAGATTAACTTCTATAAATCTTAAATCCAATAAACCCAAATTAAGTTAAATAAACTTAAATTTTTATAAGTTATGCTTTTGTACAATCCAAATGAAGGCTGTACGAACCTGAACTTTCTAAGCATGGACTTAAAAATTCCCAGCTCATTAAGATCATGAGTTAAAGATCCCATTTAAGGTCTGAAAGGCTCTTACTATTGATAAAATTGAATTGGTGAAGTGGATAAAAGAAAGAACTATTCCTGTTGTTCTGGCATCTTGGACTGGCTCTGCTAATGTAGTTTTTTTTTTTAACTTGATGCAACTGCCATGCAACCTTTCCTTCACTCATTTCAACCATTTTTGTTTATCAGTGATGATGGCTGAGTTTTGATTTTGAATTTTGGATGTGTTGAAGGGAGAAATTCAACTGGATCTCTCCATCTGCTTAATGGGCATAACCTGCAAGTCCAAGTTCTTTTGTTAGAAAGTGAGATAGGGAGGCTTTCGTTCCTAAATTTCATTGATTTGGTTGTAAATCCAAGAGGAAAGTAGAGAGGTAACTATGTCCTAAGCATAATTAGTTATCTGGTTATGCAGACCATGCAGGCTTCAAATAGTGGCAAGAGTTGGGAAAAGGCCCCCGTTGAGGCGTGGAAAGGTTTCACCATGTCGACCTGTTCCTGAACACATACCGAGGCCTCCTTATGTTGGCTCGCCAACCATTCCAGAAATTTCAAGAGACTATCAAATGCATGATTCCAAAGGGATTTATCGGATGAGGGCTGCATGTGCACTTGCTGCTCAAGTCTTAGACTATTCAGGGACACTGGTTAAGGTAAGATTTTTGGACTTACATTCCCTTCAAAAGTTGACTGACTTTGTAGGACTGTCTTGTACAATCTACAAAGTCAGTCATCTTTGTGCATATGTTTAGCATTTCTGAGACATATGAAAAAGCATAATTAAATCTGTTCTCATTTTGTGGTGACCAATTTCCAACACTTGGTGCTGGGGATTATTTAAATGATAAACAAGAACATATAAAATTTACATGTCCTAGAACGATGGTTTCTAAGTCATTACAATTCTATTAAGAACTCCTGCCACAGCATTTTTCATTGCACATAATTTCACTTATTTTTTAAAAAAGCATTCATCTGACATATTAAAAAACTAAAGAGGTTTAAATAAGACATATGGCTTGGTTGCTCATACATATTTTGGATTGAGAGTCAACAGATTACTAGCTAGAAGGTATAGTACTAAAAAAGGAAGGCCTAATTAATTAGCAGAAGATGGTCTGTTTTGCTTCTTGTTGACTTGTAAATTGTCCATCGCTTGATGATATGAAACTGTTTATGAGAAAATTTTACTCTGCTTTGACATGGTTTCGTTTCTCACTAGTCCTCGATAACGACAGATGATATCGATGAGGCAGTGCATCAGATGATAATTAGTGCTGGTGCTTATCCTTCACCCCTTGGCTATGGCGGGTTTCCAAAGAGTGTATGCACATCAGTTAACGAATGCATGTTTCATGGAATACCCGACTCCCGTAAATTGCAGGTTTGTGTTCTGCAGTGTACAAAAATATTATTATCATGATTTTGTACGGCCCTGAAAATTATGTCTTTTGCAGAGCGGTGACATAATAAACATCGATGTGGCAGTCTATCTCGATGTATGCTTCTAGACTAAGTCGTTTCATTTGATCTAATTCATTTGGATGTTTTTGTTGAATGTGCCTTGACGGTTGAGAACAATTTTTTTTTTTTCTTTGAGAAAACGGTTGAGAGCACTTTATAATGATCTTATTGTCAACATTCATTTTGAACAATGAACACCATTATGACATATGATCTTTATTAAAAATTATCTCATCGGGAATCTGGTTTTTACTTGCTCAACAGGGATATCATGGAGACACTTCCAAGACGTTTCTCTGTGGGGATGTTAGCGATGAAATGAAACGTTTAGTAAAGGTGATCTATTATGACTAGTTTGTTATTTTTGTGCACATTCCTATTTGGTAATTGCAATGTATTACTCGTGGCCTTTTTATAAGCATTCCAACCAATTTCATTCTGATAAATTAGTATGTACCTCTCTCTCCTGCTTTTCTTAAAGCAAATGATTGTTATTAGTATTACCCAACTCTCAGGCTTGAGGAAGAGCAAAGACCGATATTTTACTTTCTCACCACAATTTGTGCAATTGGCTTCTTGAATGAAATTCGCTGACAGGTTACAGAAGAATGCTTGGAGAGAGGCATAGCTGTTTGTAAAGATGGTGCCACTTTTAAGCAAATAGGACAGACAATCAGGTAATGTTTTCATTCATAATATCAGAAACACAAGTCATAACTTTAGATTCATATTATTGACTTTTGTCCACATATTATTTATAAATCTATTGATGTTGTCACTCTTAAACATGAAGAGATTGTGATTGAAGTCCCACATCAAGTAAAAGTGAGAAATCATGAATTTATGAGGAAAGATATCATTTTCATTCATATCAAGCCTTTTAGGTAGAATCTAAATATAGATCAATGAGGGTCAGCCGGCCAGGGGACGTTTGACTCATTAGTTAGACTTATGTAACGTGGGTTTAAGAAGATGAACCTATGTTTCATTCATGTCTTGCTTTTCCCAAGCTGTAGATTTTTTAGCCTCAGTGGCTACATAAACCCATATTATATATGAATCTCACCTTTTATACTACATATTACTCTGAGTTAAAAAACACGTTTGGTCCTTTTACTTTAGCTAAAGTAACGATTTAGTCCCTGTACTTTTGAATCGATAACAATTTAGTCCTGAAGTTTAGCATATAAAATTTTAGTCTCTACAGTTTAAAATTTATAAAAATTTAATCCGTACTGTGAAAAATCTTATCAAAATTAAGTGTCAATTTTATCATATAACAATTTAGTCTTTATAATTTATAAAGACATTTGATCCCTCATTGATGTATCAATCTATATATATAAGAAACTTAACAAAATTTTTCATGACTGAGATTAAATCATTACGAACTTTACACTACTGAGACTAAATTGTTACATATTCAAGCTCATGGACTAAATTGTCACCAATTTGAAAGTGCATAGACTAATCGTTACAAACTAAAGTTTAAGGATTAAATCGTTACTTGAGTGAAAGTAGAGACCAAAAGTGTTTTTTAACCTAACTTTTGTTAAATCAAACTCAAAAACCAAACATGGATTACACAAACCCAGCTTTCTATAACTTGTTTTTTTATAATCCAAACATGTATTATCAACTCACTCCCCAAATTCAAACTTCCATAAATCCGAACTTATTAAATCGTGAGCTTAACATCCCTCGAGAACATAACCATTATGAAAAATATCAGACAAACATGGACAATATGCAGATAGGAAACTGGGCATGTTTTCATGACAATATGGTTTCAAACTTCCAATTGATTCTTAGCTGTGCATTGAAATTTCTTTTTAATTGCTCTTGTCTATCTGTGTGTATAAATATCTCACAGGGAGCATGCTGAAAAACATAGTTTTGAAGTAGAGCGTTTTATTGGGCATGGTGTGGGAACAGTATTACATTCTCAGCCGCTTATATTTTATCCCTGTAAGTCACCTACTATTTTTCATTTCCAAAGAAATGTCTAGTTGTATTGTCACTCCTATTAAATTTTAGTCATTATTATACTTTAACTTAWGTAATCCTTTGACTATTTGAGAGGAATGGAGTAAAGGAAGATGAACGGGTCTGTTGTTCCTTCCTTTATGGTTAGTAAAAAGTTGGAGGGGGAGTTGAGGAAATTAATGGTGGTGATAGACTTTCTTTTGTGGTGCCCAAAATATCAATAAATTCTTATGCTTTGCATGGAGAGCAGGGTAGGTTTTGATGAGATGGGCATTTAATTCGATGTCATGCATGATGAGCACTTTATTAATGAGATTGGTGGTCAAAACTAAACTAATTCGGTGGTTGTATTCTATTCGAGGGGCATTTATTTCGGAGAAATTTGTGTTGAACAATGTGTTGCATGAAGAGTATATTAATGTTGATTGCCTTTTTAATAAGAGGAAGGAAGCTCAAAAGTTACTTCTGATTTTTCTAAAAATAAAAGGAGGAAAGGCATAGCTGAAGTACTCTGTTAATGCTGAAGGTTCAGTGTAAATTTTGGAAGAGAGTGTTATGGACTTTGTCTTGCATGAAAAGCACATTAAATCCCCTATTGGTGAAGATAGCCTCTGCGCTTGGAGATTCTTCCAATTTAAAGGTGCATAACACTTTCGTCTTTTCGTTTGATTCAATCAAGAAGAAAAGATTAAGCTGCAGCTGCTGCATTTTGGAAGACGAAAGATTTGATTTTAAAGACGATTTAAATACCAGTGTTAGTAGTTTAGATGAGGAGAAGTTTGATTTGATAATGAAGATTTTGGTTGGTAGCTAAAGGTTTCTCTGAAGGGTCATATGAAGAAGATATTAGKGCACTTTTTGAAGATGGCTTTGGAGAATGTAGTGATGAATTCTCCCACAAAATGGAAAAGGAAGTTTTAATGAGTTATTTTGATGAGGTGAGTCTCACTTTATTCCAGATGAATCCTATGTCATAAGATGAGATTTTCAAGTTTACTTTGATTAAGTCATCATTTTTGGATGTGCTTGGTTCAGTTCTCTGGTTTAAAAGTAGGATTTGACCCTTGACTTCTTCACATTGCTGTTGAAATGTTTACTCTTTTGTGTATTACAGGCAATGAGGATCCACCCTCACTTGGGTGCATGCTTGAAGGTCAAACTTTCACAATTGGTGAGTGGCTTTCGTTAAAATTGACCATCGGTAACATTCTTGTTCTTTGTTTTCTATCTATTTTTTGTTTTTTGTTTTTTTTAATTAAAAAATTACCTTTTTACTTGAAGATTATTTTTTTTTAAAATAAAATATGTAGAATAGGTTAGCCTCCAAGGAACAACCTGGTTGGCAATGACTTGAGGTTTCTTGGTAATACTGGTCTCAAGTTCGAACTTTTTGGTAACCTCAATACCAAAAACCATTGGTGGCTCCCGGATCTAGGCCTTGGGTTTGGTATGGGAAGAAGGAAAATAGTTTTATTTATGTTTTCAGAAATGGAATATGAAGGCAGTAAACAAAACAAAAAGCTATATTTATCTAGAGGTTAAATTTCAAATTTATCCCTTGTTGAGATTGTTGGAAACGTTGATAAACTCTCACTAAAATTCACTCTAAAACTCACCAACTTTGAAGAGAAGAAATTTGTCCTCTTATGAAGCTCAAGGACACAAATGAGGGAAGTGATCCCGGTTACAAATGAGGGAAGTGATCCCCTGACACAAAATATATGGATACATGTATACATACTATTCATGTATCTCAATACATTAACTTACATGAACCTATCAATTCATGTGTCAAGAAATTCATATGTGTCTAGAAATTGAATCTAGCTTAAATTCTAGCATCCCCTTAAGCTTGACTTCCATAACTCCAAGCTTCTCCTTCATTTTCAAGAACAAGGCTATCTTCAATGCTTTTTTAAATATATCTGCAACTTGATCTTGTGTCTTGCAATGTTTGATGCATACTTCTCCATCTTTGATCAATTCTTTGATAAAATGATATTTGATCTCTATATGTTTACTCCTTCCATGAAAGACTGGATTCTTTGAAGGAGCAATTGATGAAGTATTGTCACAAAACATGATAGTCTCTTTTTCTTACACTTAAATTCATGTAGCACCTTTTTCAGTCAAAGTGTTTGACAACTGACTGTAGATAAAGAGATGTATTCATCTTCGATTGTTGACAACGCTACAACGTCCTGCTTCTTTGATGCCAATGAAACTGCTTCAGAACCAATACTAAACACATATCCAAAAGTACTTTTATAATCATCAATATTTCCTTCCCAATCACTATCACTATATCCAACCAGAACATTATCCATGTTCTTCTTATAGTGAATTCCATGATTAATACTTCCATGAATCTCCTTGAAACTTGTAATAAAAAGGAGATTATAAAGCTAACACCGGTGTGATGTTGGCCAACCACTCTTCGATGTTTAAGTCAGCTGATGAACTTATTTCGGAATAGGTAAGGAGATGTATTCGGTTGATTTCACTTACCTTGAAAGGTTGCACCTCTTCCCAATTTATAGGACGAGGGATGTTCATTTTGCACTTGCCTTTGAGCTATGTTAAAGATGGGCCGCACTATCTCATAGGTTGTACCTATGCTACGTTGCGCTATGTTAAGGCGCCTGCGCGCTATAGCGTTCGATTGCTCTATTTTAGTGCAAAGGGGTGCACCATTTTAGGGTGTGGATTGCACTATCTTTCCCTTTTCCTTGAACCCATTATTATTTGATTGCACTCTCTTAGGGGTTGCACTATTTTATGGAGGAGTTATGGATTGCACTATTTTAGGGTGTGGATTTCACTATCTTTCCCTTTTACTTGAGCCCATTATTGCTTAAATTCAATCTCTAGCCCAAAAATAGTGCAATTCCTAGGTGGGTCCCAACACAAGACCCCTATTTCAAGTTCGGGCGTCGCTCAATGTTCCTTTTATTAGCCCTATTTGCACCTTACATTCTACAGCTGCACTATTCTCATCCTTCCTCTAGGCGAATCGAGTGAAGTGCCTACATAGGACTATTTCCTTAGCATTCTTCTGTTTTAGTGCGAGTTTGGGCGGTTTTTGGGTGATTGCCGAACTATTACCCCTTATTTTAAGACGTTTGGGGTGGGTGTATAAGAGGGTAATGTTTCCTTTTGGTAGCAAAACTTTTTTTGTAATGACCAGTTAAGGACAGTGAATGAATTATTTTGAGCAGCATGAGGTTGAAGTTTTTTTTAGTAGAGAATTGTGCGTTTAGCCTTGCGAGATAATCTTGCTACTTCTTTGTTTTTTTTTTTTTAAGTATGTCTGGTTTAGGAGCCGAAGAATTTGATATAGGGGATTATGAATATTTAAGCCCATTATAGTCGGCGTTAAGGGACTTAGGGCTGTCGTCAGTAAATTTATCGTGTATGGAGGCGTTTCCATTTCCCGCTTTACCCCTAGATGACTTGATGACGGGGAATGGTTCAGTTGAATGTTTTGCCATGAATTTTGAGGATGTTACAACAATTATGATTTTGATAGGATGATTAGCAGGCTTCCTGGTGTTGACCTTTAGGGGAACGAGAGATATATGAACTAGTAATTACCGATAGAGAGGTGGATCCTGTGGTTACAGATATAATGCCCATATTTACAGATATAATGCCCATATCTAATTACGAGTTGGTGTCGGGATCACAGAGAATCCCTTAATAGGTTGTATAGAAGGACTTGGACTATTATCGCTCTCGATATTGTATTCCGACATCAGTTCCTGAACCTTATGAACGTATGACACACCCTCTTGAGGGAGAAACAACCATGTACATAAAGATGTTCGAGAATGGGGTGTGATTGCCTTTTCGCCCATTTATTGAGCATTTCATGTGTGAGCTCCAGGTAGCCCCAGCGCAGTTACATCCTAATAGTTGGAACATGTTACTTGGTAGTTACATTACTTGGAGGTGTTTTAACGGAGGGGAAGAACTTGATATTTCTAATATTTTGCATGTGTTTAATATAAATGTGGCCCCACCCAGGGAGAATATGTTTGTGTATCTTTTTAGGAAGCAGGAGAAGAGGTGCTCGGATGAAAGAAAGAGTAAAGCTAGGTTTGATCAAGGGTCTCAGGGGTCAAGTTGAGTCTAGTCCAAGGATTGTGGAAGGGCAGGAGTCTCAAGGAGAGGGCTCTTCGAGAACGTCCGTGCACCGTTCTTGGCAAATGGTTACTTGCCCTATTTTTAATAGAGATTGGAAAGAATCTTGGTTTTTAGTGAGTGGAGATTGGCTCACGAGTAGTGCGGGCAATTACATGGTCCCTTCCAGCGTCATGTTTCTCTTTTCACCTACTTAACTAGTATCTTTGTTCGTTATTGACTTTATTTCTGTTTTAGCTAGTACTTTCTTTCATTTTCAATGATGTGATTCTGATTTTTTGTATGATTCTCCAATGATGCCGTTGGATAGAAATATCCACCTGATTGGGCCATTAGATCCATCTCCCACTATAATGGGCCTTCCATCACTCGCTTCTACTCGATTGATGGGTGTTACTCCATCGACCGACTCTCCAGTTGTCGGGACTCCTTGTGGGGGAGGCTCATCCTTCAGAAGCTTCATTCCCATTTTTCAAATTTCTGAGTCCTTATCGAGCCTCCACCCCCGAAGGGATTGTCGACAGGGAAGGTTGACCTATTTATGATAGGTTGTAGACTATGACAGTGACTGAAGTTTTTGGCGTCAAGGACCCTAACCGAGAATTTTGTCAGGCTCTTTATGATATTCGCAGGGTTAGTTTTGCTTATGTATTGTATGTGTCTTACCTTTTAGGTCCAGCTAATGCATCATCACTTGTTTCTCTTTTTAGGCTGACATGTGCATTTGTCCGAGTTGTGAAGAGCGGAGTTAGAAACTTCTGTGGAGCAAGCGCGCTCTGATTGGGGTCGGGCAGAGGCCGAGGTGGATGCAAAGAAGGTGACTCTATTGCGGCGCGAGACTGAACACAAAGTTAAGTTAGAGGCTCAGCATTCCCAATTTGAGGTTGTCCTGAGTGATGTGAAGAAGCTAAAAGAAGCAATGCAGAGGATTGGAGCTTACGATGCCCTTGAACGAGAGATTATGGAGTTGAGCGTGGATTGGGTGAAAAACCGGGTTAGTGAGAGGTTCCCTGATATAGATTTTGGATTTATTTCTACCTTGCTCAATACCGAGTGGGGTGGACCTCATGCACCTGAGCCTTCTGAAGTCGCCGCAAGATGTGTCCCCAGCGTTGGTGAGATAGGGATAGTTGGTGCTAGCAGGAGCATAGTAGCTACCCTTATTGGTACGGTGGGATCGGACTCCTCTCGTGAAAGAGCCTCGCCTATTGATGTTAGCCCTTCTGAGGCCACCCATATGAGTGATTTAGTGGGCGACTTGATGTGTTGTTAACTGGGGGAGAGCCAAGGGCCAGTAGCATTATTATTTTGCTTGACATTACGACAATGTCGTGTATTGAGAACTTTTGTCCGCTAGTATTCATAACATGATTTGGATTATCTTTTAGCAACATGTGCTTTCATGGATGATACTTTTTGAGATGCTTTTTGAGATGTTCTACATTCCATGGGTGTTTTATTTGCTTACTTTCACAAATTGCTAGATAATAAGTACTCGACCGAGCAACTCGAATAATCTTATATGGGCCTTCCTAGTTAGGCCCCAATACTCCATTTGTAGTTTCTTTAGTATTCTATGTTACTCGTCGTAAACCAAATCTCATTCCTTGAACGTTCTCGGTTGAATATTTGCAAGTAACACTGGGAGATTTGTTGTTGACGTGCTTGAATCCGATGTTGGGATACTTCTCGTAGTTCCTCTACAAGGTCAAGTTGAAACCTAAAATGTTCGTCATTGGTAGCAAGGACGTATTCTCTACTTGTAATGACGAGAGTTCTATTTCAACAGGAATCACAGCTTCAATTTCGAAGGCTAGGGAAAATGGGGTTTCCCTAGTTGCAGTTTTCGCTGTCGTCCAGTAGGCCCATAACATGTTGGGTAGATCTTCCGTCCACCCCCCTTTAATGATTCCATGCGGGTCTTTAAATGTTGCTTGATGATCTTGTTTACAGCTTCTACCTGTCTATTGGACTGTGGGTGAGCTGGCGAGGAGCGAAGATATGGTGGATGTTAAGTTGTTCACAAAAGTTCGGAAAGTTGCCGTTGTCAAATTGTTGTCCATTATCTAAGATAATGGCATATGGGACATTAAACTGACATACGATGTTCTGCCGTACGAACTTTGTGATTTTCTTTTCGGTGATGGTGGCTAAGGCTTCAGCTTTGACCCACTTAGTGAAATAGTCCATGGCAACTACCACATACTTAGTTTGGCCCTTTCCCCGAGAATTGCACGAAAGGCCAAGAGCTAACTATGATAGACAGAGGCTCGGTTGGCAATCTTGGGATTAGGGGTGAATCGTTGGCATTGATCACATGTCTTAGTATACTGCTGAGTATCCGGTCGTAAGGTTGGCCAGTAATATCCTTGTCGGATAATTTTATGATCCAGTGATTGTGCCCGTAGGTGATTGCCACAAATCCCCTCGTGAATTTCCTGCATCACGTACTTGGCATCTTCTTTGTCAAGACATCTGAGGAGCAGTTGAGAGTATCCCCGTTTGTATAAAGCCCCCTGAACAATTGTGTACTGGGTCGCTTGTCGTTTCAATCGACGGGCTTCAGTTGCCTCAGTAGGTAGTTCTCCGGTGGTCAAATAATTAATTATCGAGCTCATCTATGAAGTGTTGTATGGGGTGTCCATAGTATTGACATATTACAACTCCTTGTGTGCTGGGGTGAGCAACTTTTGTACTCGTGCCTTGTAGGTATTTAGCTTTTTCCCTTTTACTTGATATTGATATTCCCCCTTGACTTGGTTGACAACTAGCATTCAGTCACTAAGGACTAGTAAATTCTTAACTTCACGATGTTTAGCCGTTTGGAGACCAACAATCAACGCTTTCATATTCGACTTTGTTATTGGATGTTTTAAATCCAAACGTCAAAGTAACTTCTATGCATTCTTTTTCAGGTGACAATATCACCACCCTTGATCCACATCCCTAGCTATTTAAAGATCCATCAACATAAGTGGTCCAAAGTTCGGGATCGAAGGGGTCTGGTAGTGTGATGTCACAAGTAGAATCTTTTTCGTGTTACGACGAGTAACACAAAACACTAAAGAAACTGCAGTGGAGTATTGGGGCCCAACTAGGAAAGGCCCATACAGGGTTATTCGAGTTGCTCGGTCAAGTACTTATTATCTAGCGAATTCTGAAGGCAAACCATTAAAACAGCCATGGAATGTAGAGCATCTCAAAAAGTATCATCCATAAAAGCACACGTTGCTAAAAGATAATCCAAATCATGTTATGAATACAAGCTGACAAAAGTTCTCAATACACAACATCGTCGGAATGTTCAAAAATAAAGAAAACAAGCACAATAATAATGCTATTGGCCCTGGGCTCTCCCCCGATAGCTGCTACGCTCTTGCTAGCACCACATATCCCTATCTCCCTAGTGCAGGGGATACACTCGTGACAACCTCGAAAGGCTCAGGTGCACGAGGTCCACCCCACTCGATATTAAGCAAGGTAAAAAGAAAAAAAAAATCTATACCAGGGAGCCTCTCACTAACCTAGTTTCTCACCCAGTCCACGCTCAACTCCATAATCTCTTAGTTAAGGACATCGTAAGCTCCAATCCTCTACATTGCTTCTTCCAGCTTCTCCGCATTGCTCAAGACAGCCTCAAATTGGGAACGATGAGCCTCTAACTCACCCTTGTGTTCAGCCTCACGCCGTTCAAGGGTCACCTTCATTGCATCCACCTCGGCCTCTACCCGACCCCAATCCGAGTGCGCTTACTTCACAGAAGTTTCTAACTCCGCTCTTTGCAAGTTGAACTGGTGCAAAAGAGCCTAAGACTCTTTGTCAGCATTTGCCTTTTGCTTCCAAGCAGAAGAGAGCTCGGTCCCCATGTGATGGGCTGCCGAACAAATGCGCATGCCAGCCTAACAATATAAAAGCAAGAGAAACAAGTGATAATGCATTAGCAGGAGCTAGAAGAAAAGACACTTACAATATAGAAGCAAAAGTAACCATGCAAATATGATAAAGAGCCTGCCAAAATTCTCGGTTAAGGTCCCGATCGTAAAAACTTCGGGCACTATCATAGTCTACAACCTATCATAAACACGTCGACCCTCCTTGTTTGCAGTCCCTTGGGGGTGAGGGCTCGATAGGAACCTGGAAAGTTGAAAAATGGGAACGAAGCTTTTGGGGAGAGGAAAAGCTTCCCCCACGAGGAGACCCGGTCGATGGAGTAACACCCCTCAATCGAGTAGAAGCGAGAGATGGAGGGCCCATTATAGTGGGAGATGGATTTGATGGCCCAATCAAGGTGGATATTTATGTCAAGCGGCATCGTTGGAGAGACTTTGACGCCACATTCGAAGATCCTCCCTGAACAACTGTTCTCTTTTGTGCACCAAGACGGTGGTGAGGATTCATTGCCATCGACTAGTAAGTGGTAGGACGACGGGCAACGAAATAGTAGTAGGTCTCTCGAAACCTGAAAGCAAAATAGAATTGAGGTGAGAACATAAAGATGAGATTCACAAAAGGAAGCATAACCAAAGGCGGAGTTTCCTTACCAAAGAGAAGTTCCTCAGGTGTTGTTGTATCACTATCTGAATCGCCAATAGATGCCGTGTTGATCCAATCATCGTCCAACTAATGCGAAGGAGAGGTCAATCGAGACAAGATCATACTTGCGTAGGTTGGATTCAGACAGTAGATCAACCTTCTTGCCTACTAAAGACAACGACTTCTTGAGAAAAATGGCACCGTGATCGAGTGAGGCGTGAACAAGAACTAGAGAATCATACAAAAAGTCAGAATCACATCACTAAAAATGAATGAAAGTACTAGCTAAAATAGAAATAAAGTCAATAACGAACAAAAATACTAGTTAAGTTGGTGAAAAAGGAAATAGGAACCACTGACCCAGCATCCCGAACCTAGAAGAGACCATGTAATTGCCCGCACTACTCGGGAGCCAATCCCCACTCACCAGAAGCCAAGATTCTTTCCAATCTCTATTAGAAATAGGGCAGGTAACCATTTGCGGAAAACGGTGCACGGACGTTCTCGAAGAGTCCTCTCCTCGGGACTCCCGCCGTTCCACAATCCTTAGACTAGGCTCAACTTCATCAGCGTGAGCCCTTTTATCAAGTCTAGCTTCACTCTCTCTC